TTAACAGACAATTCATTTATGTATCCACCAATAAGCACTTCATCTCAGCATCTTCTAACAAGCACATTATCTCTCAGCCTCCTCTAATAATACATCCCAAAGAGTCGTAGCATGTCTTCTTCTCCATTGGAATCATCCCCATGTTAGAGATTCATGTGTTTCAACCTCTCTTCTTCAGACCTCAATATAACACTCGTCGGTGACCTCTTCCTGGGTCCTTTCCTCAAATTCATCTGCTATATCACTCGGCGGAGTTGTCGTTGTATCTCTTTCATGATAAAGTCCTTATTAGGATTTGGAAATTGCCTCCTCAGTGGTATGATTTGGTTTAGGTGTAAGTAGGGTTGGAATGGGTGTAGGGATGGTGTAGGAAGGGAAAGAAAAATTTTGAGGGTGGAGATGGGTTTGGGTATAGCGGATGCTAGAAACGCTATGATAGGACAAGAGTTAGGCTATCTCAGATACCAAATGATACCGAAGTTAACCCAAAAAACAATAGAAAAAAATGAATAATAATAAAAAAGACAGGTGGTTACAACCATACACGACACCCAAAAAATCTGAAAGAACAACAGGCACAACACATACAAATATCGAAAATAATAGAAAAAACAATAATAACAAACAAAACAAACTTTTATTAAAGTACAGAGCGGATTACAACACAACACTATAGAAAATAACAACACAAAACAAAATCGCCACAAGAAAAGACCTCTAAGGTGTATTCCAAGGGCAATGGAAGTTGGCAAGGTGGATTTGGCGGCTTGGGACAGGAAGTGTGAATGCAGGAGAGAGGTTTGCAGAGGTTGGAGGTGAACTGGAGGAGGTGCCAACATGTCAGCATGGCGGGAAGGCCTGTTAGGCGGCTAGGAAGTAGGTTGGAAGGTGGAGTAGCAAGCTAGGAAGGTGCGACAACAGCTGGAAAGTCTCGCCGTCACTTAAAGGAGCACTCTTTAAGTATGGAATACGCACGCAGTTCTGTGTGCATATTTCACAAAATAACTTTCCAATAACTCAGTTATTGGGGGTTATGGAGAGGTTATTGAAGTATAACCTCTTAATAACCTCCCAATAACGTACGAATATATTATGCGGTTCCGCGCTCATATTTTTTGTTGTTATTTGAAAGTATTGTCAGTTATCGGGGGTATTAACCCCAATAATACTGACATAAGCCTCTGATACCTCTCGAATAACCTCTATACGCATGCATTTCTGCATGCGTACTCCGTTCGTAAATATTTTTCCACTTAAAGAGGGTGGACAACAAGCAAAAAAGTGCTGACAACACTGGGAAAGGCCTTGGGAGGGTGGTTAGAGGAGTTGGCAGCAAGCCGACAACTAGGATGACTGGAGAAGAAGGGTTAGGGAAGATGAAAGGGGAACATACATCACCACCTCATAGTAGGATACAGCCAGAGCACCACTACCTCCTCAGATATAGCACTACAAAAGAGAAAACTCTCCACAGAAAAAATCTGAAAGCAAAAACAACAAAAACTCATTGTCACACACATAGGACGACAATTTATAAAGTCCTACTGGACAAAACAAACTTCAACACAAAAGGAAGGGGTTGGGAAGGCAAGAAAAATTCAGAAAACACTTCTTAAATAAAGATGGGTGCGGTAGACACGAATGCAACTTGTCGGGTCGTGAAAGTTTGCGATCTCACCTCTGCTTCGTGCCTCCCAACCCTCACAAGACTTCGGGATCTTCCGCTCTGCTTCACACTTACACGAGGCATCGCAGGGGTTATAGGCCCCACGGATTCGAAGCACCCCGCTTGGTGGAGGGTGTGGGCGGAGGGGGCAATTAGAGCCCGCACCCGGGCGCTATTTTAACGCTCACGTCAGCGCCTTTTAGCCCCCCGCATCAGTCTCCCGGGGTTGGGGGAGCTTCGGCTTCATAGGTCAAAGCTTCTGTTTCGTCGTCATCCACTCATTCTGTGTAGCCACCAAATTTGGTTCCACTAACGCTGCTCTACTGAGAAGGGATCCTGTGACTCTGGTCTCCATCGAAGGAAGTAGGACGACACGCTTCCGGTTCTTGGTGAAAGAAAATGTGATTCTATATCGGTGGTTTTGAGTCATCTGGTCAAACTACCACGATCATCCCAACAAAGGCAACCATAGGGAACATGTCACACCACACCTGGTCCTGCAGCTGGCCTCCGATTGAAAAACTCTACCAAACATCTTTGGTCGATGCAAACCCATTTCTCCTTCTTCAGCCACGTCAGGGAATATGGTTGGGAATGTCTTTTAGTTGTAAGTTCTAATTTATTTACCATCTGTGTCGATGCCACATTCTTGCTGCTTCCGACATCAAAAAATAGACTACATACTTTTTCGTTTACTATGCAGCGGAAGTAGAATATGTTGTGACGAAGCCACTACAAATCCCTAGTGTCCTCAGTCTGCAGGATCCATCGAATCACTGGCGCCTCTCCTTCATCTGGGGGAAGATGATACAGCTCACCCTGTTCCTCAGTTTTATCTTCATCGTGAATCTCTTCCATAGTGCCCTGATCAGTAAGTGAGACGACTCTGCTCATGCGGCATTAGGACTCTATGTGGTAGTAATTGTGGCATTTGAAACATTTCCTAGTCGGTACAGTGTTGGACGCGCTACTTTTCTCCTGCATTTTCTCGCTCTGGTTCCAATTGTCATCCCCCTGTCTGGGCTTGTTAGTCTCTCCCAAGGTACTCTTGTTCATCGTGATAACTGTAGGTGACTGCTTGCTTGAAGGTTGTTGCCTAAAGGAAGATTGTTCTAACTTCAAGGCTGGTGTTTGGACATCTCCCAATGTACAATACAGTTGTAGCTGCACCACATTACTAATGGCAGACTGTAGTCCCCCAAGATATCTGGCTACTGTATGCTCTTCTGGCTATATCAGTTCACACTTTAGCTATAAGTGATCGAACTGGGCTGTGAATTCCACTAAAAAATCCTATTGCTAAAAGTTGTGGAGCTTCAGAAACAAAACCTGACAATAGTGGGGAGAAAGAAATTTTTTTTTTGCATTGCTTTCATGTCTTAGTGATTTTCTCACTATCTTCTCTTCTCTATATTCGTATATTTTCCCATCATGAGGCATTTTTCTTTAGTATAATAGCACCTAACTTAACTTGCTTGTCCGCTGGTACAGCTTCATACTCGAAAATCCGTTCGCTTGATTGCAGCCAGTCGATAACTCATCAGGGTTTATACCTCTCTCAAATTCTAGAAGGTTCGGTCCATCTTAATGCCAAAGTCCCGCTGACCTCCATAAGGGGCCTCTTCTCTCAGCCTCCTTTGGCATTGGATACCAAAACGGCGTGTTCGATGTTCCTCGTCATTGTGATCTTCCTTGTGGAACCGATTCATCTCCTCGTCCCTATCTTCTCTTTGACTCTCGATCACGGTGAAAGATAACCTCTCCTAGTTACCGTCATTCAACTCTCCTAGTCTCCGCTGTAAATGACGGATCTCTCGTTGAATCTCTTCCAAAGTCAAATCCGGTGTATCCTTTCGCAGTGGCACGGCTAGGTTTGGGAATTGAAAGGAAAAAAATTGGTGGTGGATTGAGTAGGGACAGATGCTAGAAAATTCTAGGATGGCACTAGGGTCGAGCTAGATCTGATACCAAATGATATCAGAACTAGTAGAAAAAACAAAGAAAACATGGAAAACAAACTTTTATGAATGTAGAGAGAGGGTTACAATACAACACAATAGAAAATAACAACACAAAACATAATCTACACAAGAAAACACCTCCAAAGTGTATTCCAAGGGTCATGGAGGATGGCAAAGTGGATCTGATGGCTTGGGACAGCAAGAGTAAATGCAGGAGAGAGGTCAAGAAGGGTTGGAGACTTTACTGGAGCAAGGGGCAGAAGGTTAGGGTTACGGAAAGGTCTGTTGGGCGGCTGAAGAGTAGGTTGAAAGGTGGAGTAGCAAGCTGGGATAGTGGAACAGTAGGTGGGAAGTCTCAGCAACACTTAAGAGGAGTGGACAACGAGTAGAGAAGTGCTTGCAGTAATGAGAAAGGTTGTGGGAGGGTGGCTGGTGAGGAAAAATAGCGGTCGGAGAAGCTTGCTGCAAGTCGACAACTAGGATGAGTAGAGAAAAATCACCACCTCATAGTAGGATACAACCAGAGCACCACCACCTCCTCGGATACAACCCTACAAAACGAAAAAACTCTCCACACAAAAAATCTAAAGGCAAGCACAACAAAGACGGACTCCCACACACCGAAGACAATAATTTATAGAATCCTATAAGACAAAAAGAAACTTCCGCACAAAAGGAAAGGACTAGATCTTGGAAGCCCTATAAGGGAGAAAGTGGATGCCAAAAGCTGTCTCAAGAGAAAACACGACAAAATTTAATATAACACATATATCAAAAATGACTAGAAAGGAAAGAAGGATGAAACAAAACATGTGGAAAATAATAAAGAAATTAGAAGGGGAGCCACTCAGTTCAATTCGAACCCATTCGAGCGACCCGACCCGTTTCCCGCATCTGGGTCGCAAGAGTATCGCATGCGGGACGTGATCCCACCTCTTCTTTGGACCTCCTGCGTTAATAAAGAAGAAACGCCCGCGTCATATACCCTAATGCATTTACTTTAATTCTGCATGCATATGTTTGCCCTTAATAAAATTTGAACAAAAAAACTCAAATGCCAATCTCTGGATGAGCAAATACTTATTTGACTGTTCTATTTAGATAAAATTTTGAATTTTACAAGAAAATAAAGCTTTGCTTCTAGTTTCAGTCAAAAATGCCATTTACATTTGAACAGAAAGAAGTGATTTTTAAATTTTATACGAGGAAAGAGCAGATCTAATAAATCAATCTATAATGTTTACACAGAAAAGACTTGATTGCAAAACTATTGCCATAAATTCCAATCTGAACTTCAAAATTATATGAAGAAAGAGTAGAAATAAAACAAAAAAAATCTTCAAAGTTTACACTGGAAAGGTAAAATTGCACACCTATCGCTAAGAATTGCCAAGCCATTTGTATCATGAAGGAAAGACATATCACCAATCACACATACAACCTGAACAAACCAAAAATATTGCAGCTAAAGTTAATATGAAGAAAAAATCGGATCAATACCATAAGTATATCTGTTGCACTAAAACTAAGCATTCAAAGTAGATGGCATAGCTATCAAAGTATCTCATAATGTAAAAATTGTGCTACTCATATACGGGACTGTTCAGAAACAAAAATGGTATTAATTAGTTCCTTACGTCTTCAAATTTTCCCAAGATGAACAAACCAAAAATATTGCAGTTATAGATAATATGAAGAAAAATATGATCAAAACCTTAAGGATATCTGTTGCACTAAAACTAAGCATTCAAAGTAGATGGCTTAGCTATCAAAGTATCTCATAATGTAAAAAGTGTGCTACTCATAGACGGGACTGTTCAGAAACAAAAATGGTATTAATTAGTTCCTTACGTCTTCAAATTTTCCCAAGAAAAATTTAGGAGAATGTTCACTGGAAGCAGTTAGTCACCAATAACACTAGCAACATCATAACCGAAGAAGGGTAGGAAATTCTCTCCCCAGAAACTAAAACAGACACTCTAAGCATAACAAAACTTCATGAACATAAATATTAATCCATGCATATAAGTACTATCAAGACAATGTGACATCTCAAATCTCGAGACAGCTAGTTTTAGAGTAAGTCATAAAACTTTATATATCACGATGGGCACCAAAGAAACAAGAGAAAGATGCTCACCTTAAAAAAACAAGCAAAATACTAGGATGAATAAAACTCTTATTCGAGAGAAGCACAAAGATAAATAACCAGGTAGCTAGAAAACCTGTTAAAAATAGCTTTGTACTTATACCTAGCCTAACTGGAGAGGAGTGAGGTGGATGTGAGGATGGCTCAGCACAATCCTCTGATAAAAGATCATCTTGTAACCCCAACCCAAATGGAACACTCCACTATGTAGAACTATTTGATAAGTAGTCATCCTGCAGAAAACTCTGAATCCATATATTAACAGAAAAATGAGCACGCATCTGATCCAGAAGCTTAGGGTAAACTGCTGGAAAGACTATTCTGCCCTGGCAATCACCATCATCAGAAGGTCTTCTACAAAAAAGCTAATAATCTGGCACAATGTACTCCTCGAATTGCTGTCCAAAGAGCAGTAGTCCTTATACTGTCTACAGCTCCCACAAAGTGACAATCAACTCCTCAAGGCCAACCCAACATGATTGCTACTAGGATTCTAAAAATCAATCATACCTCGAATTCAAGCAGAAGGAATCTTCAAGTAATCAAATAGAGATAAATAATTTACCTTGTAGATCCCTGCTACTTGCAAAGTATCTTTGTGTAACTGTACTTGTATATGGTCCAATCAATATATCTACGTGTGGGGCTGGAAACCCGACTTACAGCTAAATCAATGGGTCACTAAGGTGTGTCTCTGAAGCTTATCGTGACTCAAAAGTCCGAACTATCATGGTTGTACAACTGTATTAGCAGACGGTTGCAGATTCTCGTACAGCCCAAAGCTGATGAGTCATTGTACTATCCAAAGGATTATACTCTCCACACTTTAGTTTGAGAGTAGTAATCCACTCACGGGATCCTGAAGCTCCAAAATTTTCGACGAGCAACCTGGAAGAATAGAGGAAAGAGAAAAATCCTTTATAAATCTCTCGGTCCATAAGCATATCCTGAACCAAAGCCCTATCCGCGTGCAACTCCCAAGCTGCTCAAGTGCCTTCCTTATACAATGGTTCGATAAGCCCAAGCTTTGCACAAAGCCACCATGACCTTCTTGCACCAAACCTTCGCGTGACTTGATCTGATCCCCTCTCTGTCCTAGCCCACAACCACTACTTCACTGCTCTCCTTCCTCTGGCTGTTAAATCGAAGCCTTCGGCCCTTTCTTTGCTTAACCTCTCCGGCAAATCACATAAAGGGGACTACTTTTGCTTGTTAAATCGAGAACACCTTGCCTTTTTGTTCAAGCCCAAACACTCAGTTGTGCCCCATCATCAAGCTCTTTGAGCCCCAAGCATCAAACCAAGACAATTATTATTTTTTAATTATTATTTTTTACCGTTATGTAATATATAAAAAATAATTATGTTGTATTAGTTTATTTTGTTTTATTTGTCGTCATTTCTGATAACGCCATCAAAGCTTAGAAAGGTATAACTTTGGGGTAACACGGTAATTTTCAAAAAATCTTCATTTAGGGAGAGCACAAGTACATTTCGTGAGAATTAAGGGTATGTTTCGGGCGGGGTGGTGGCGATACGGTGTTGCACTATAATTTTTCCTGTTTAGCAAAAAAGTGTTTTGCACACGTCTCAAGAAACTGTAGTTAAGAACAACATTTTCCCATCAAACATAGCTATTTGTAGAGGCTGATAGAAATATACAGTCTGACTTTAAAAAAAAAATTTGTAATAGTCACCGCAGCTTTTTTAATAGCAGTTTCTTTTTCAGCAGCTTCACAGTTGCTTCTTGAAACAACTGCAACTGCCCCAAATAGACCTTAAGTACGGTTCGGTGAAATCGCAAACTCATTTGGAGAAACATTATAAAAATTATAATTTTAAACTGTCCTCAGAAATGTGAATACCCATCCATCGAAATTAAGTACAGTAGGGAGCAAGGAAAGTGTCGTTTGGGGAAATTGATTTGTAATTTGACAATTTCTGCAAGTATATTGAAGGACCGTTCTTTTGAGATCGCGAGTTAAATATTGTAATTTTTCCCCGGCGTAGTGTCTTACGATACTGACCACCGTTCTTTTAAGATAACCGGGAAGGTTGGCATTCTCTCGTACCCACTAATAGAGGTTGGCACAGGGTGGCTGCCGACATTTTTAGTGATTCAGAGTTGTAATCAAATTAAAATATTTGAAAATTTGAACTTATAAAATAAAATATAATAAAAATCATTTGAATTTTTAAAATGATTTTGAAACTCGAGCTTTTAAGATTTAAGCTCTTAGGATTTAAAATATCGAGAACCTGTGCTTTAAATATTCAATCTCTTCAAGTTTTAAAATTTTTGAAATTCTATGCTTTTAAAATACTCTTATGGCTAAAAAATATTGAAATTTGGATTTTTAAGATTAAGCTCATAAGCCAAAAAATATTTTGAACTTGAGTACTTCAAACTTAGGCTCCTATGGTTTGAAAATCAATTTAAAATTGGGTTTTCGAACTTAAGCTCCTAAGGGACAAAAAATGATTCAAATACGAGGCTTCTTAAAATCTAAAATCCCATCCGGGATTCGAAACACACCTGCTGGCGTATAGAAGAAGGTCCCTTTTAAAGCTCAAAATGAAATTTTGCATGACTTAAAAATCTTAATATTGCAAACATTTTAAGTTCTGAATGATCTGAATATTAATCAAAATTTATGATAGTTTCCTGAGTTAATTGAAATATTTTAAAATTTGTATAATCATTTTTAAAACTTATATGAATAATAGGCTAGATACTCTAAGCTATAGAGGATTTAAGACATTTAAGGAAATAAGTCAATTAGACACAATTTCAAAATTAAAAATATATTTCTTGAAATAAATTTCACATCAGAGTCCTAATTTAAAAGATCTTATAAACCCTTAATATTTATAAAACTTTTAAGCTATTTTAATATATAAATTTAAGTATCATCATGAGCTCCAACCAATGTATTGAATGCTCAAAAGTATTGTGTGGGCTAAATGCGCAATCTTATCTATACGATGTGGTTGTAAGTTCTACCCAACCAGTCTGATCCTCTTTCTCATAAGAAATAAAGTTAACAAGTCTAATAATATCGAAAAAAACATTCAAATCTTAAAATAAGAAACTCAAATTCAAACTATTCAGTCCGACCCACCTCCTTATAAGGAATGAAGTCGGCAAGACTCATACCATAAAAATCTAAACTAACAAAATGAAATACCTCTACAAATATAAAAGTTTAAAATACTTAACTCTTTGATGATCGTCGTGTTTATTGAAAATTTCAACCAGAGAGGGCAAACTCTCGAAGCAAGATTTTCAAAGTAATCAACAAAACATCAAAGTTAAAATCAATCACTAAAGACTTAAAGCAAACATAATCCACCCTCCGCAATAGTTTGCCTATTGCGGAGGGTGACAAACTTTTGATTGGCTTCATCTCACAAAAAAAGAATATCATATCAAGGCATCCCTATATTCACAATCAAAGCAAATACATGCCAGTTAGGATGTGGGTCGAGTCATCTGTCTGCATGGTTCTGCCATAAAATAGTACCACAAAAAAACGATTACGACCAAAGCTGATACTGGAGTTTAACCCAAACCACGATGCACGACACAATTTTACAAACAACTTAAACAAAATTACAATGAAGACTTAAAAGAAGAAAATACAATACACAAATAAAAAGTATAAAACAAAGAATTACAAATAAAAACTCGAAAAAAGTAGACACAAAGTTGACGAGGAGGAAGTACGAAGAGGTGGTGCTAGATCAGTGATTGTGGTGAAGGCCGAAGAGATGCTGGACGGCTGTGGAAGAGTAGGACAGCAAGTCAGCCATCATCAAGGCGTTGAACCGCAGCTGAAATGAGTAGCAGGGACAGTAGTAGGGAGAATTTGGAAGGAGCAGCGAACAATACAATTTGCAGGGAAGGGTCTGTTGGGGTGGATTATAAGTGCGGGCGGCGTTTTCAAAATGCCGCCGCACTGTTTGGTTCACGTGTTTCATCAACTTATTCGAAACTGCGTTTGAGTTTTTACACTAAAGGCAGGCCGTGGGTCGACCCCTGCGGCCGGCCCGCGGGCCGCGTTTTAGGATAAGCAGCTTATCCTAAAATGCACAAGCTGCCCCAAACGGACCCGAAGCTGCAGGAAGGCTACGTAATGGTTGTGCCCTGCAAGAGAGCTACAGGGAAGAGCTGGAAGGAGCGGTTGTAGGTGCGGTCTGCAGAAGAGCTGCAAGAAAGAAGGCTGCAAGTGGTTGATGGGCTGCGGCAAGAGGAGCGGCGGTTGCCTGCTGGTGGCTAAAGGGTTGCGGCAG